ATTTAATAATAATAATTATTATTACTTTTTATTATTGTTCTTGTTCTTGTTAATAATAATAATAAATGTTATTTTTAATATGATTATATTTTACTATTATTAATAGTGAATATAAGTAATAAAATACACAACGTATATAATATAATAATAAACATCATAAATAATAAACAAAAATAATTGCTCGTTTATATTGTTGTATTGATTGTTAAAATAATTTCTAATAATAATATAATTAATTATATAATCTAAGTTTAAGTTTAACTTTATTGTCTGTTCTGCTTGTCACAGAGCAGAAATTTGTCTTTGACACTGGTGACATAGATGCATCCACATTAATACTTAAAAACACAGCACAACATAAAATTACACAAGTTTAGGTAACTGACTCAACCCCAAACATTCCTTACACATTACAAATCATCATCCACAGTAATATATATAAATCAATTTCTTCCATTAAATCCATTAAACAGTGTACTACCAACCACTCTCTTGCATTTCCTTCAAACAATTATCCGATTTAAAATAACAAATACCATTGGGACAAATGATTTTTTTATAAGCATTTCTTCTGGCCAGAGGAATTTTAAGCCTATGCCCTGATGGAAGCATTTCAAAAGTAGAGTGGAGGGGATGAGGATGATCTTTACAAATCCCAATTTCTGTTTTTTTCCATAAAACAATCAAATAAAACCTGAAGTGAATGTTGTTTATAGCCAGTAATCTTATTTGCCTGATTAATTGTTTGTGAGAGTTTGTTCTTCTGTTTAACTGTTATATTACTGTACCATGAGACAGTATTATATGTAAGAATGCTCTCAATCATTGTATAAAGGTTATTTTTTTTGTATAATGTTTGTATACATATGTTTATTATTATTATTAAGGATAACAAAATCATTATTTTTGTTATTATTATGTTGCATTTATTCTCAAATAAATATTTACTTATTTATTATTATTATTATTTATGTTCATAATTATATTAATGTTGAAATATTCAATATGCATATTAATGATATTGTTTCACCCTGTACAGGTGAAGCGAATGCTGTTTTGGCTAAAGCCGAGGCAAAGGCCAAAGCTATCCGGCTGCTGTCCGAGGCGCTCACTCGGCAGGTAGATCTGATTCACCTGATGAAGAACCTTCATACGAACCCATATCACACTTATACATCACCACACTATATATTAGCAGAGAGGAATCAATCGTGTGTGTAAACTGATACAATATTAAACCAGAGATGAACATAGTGAGTTCCGACTGTTTTACATTATCAAGGCATCTTATTGACCTTTCATAACTGTATCTGTACAGAATGGAAACGCTGCAGCATCTTTAACTGTGGCCGAACAATACGTCTCTGCTTTCTCCAACCTGGCCAAGGAATCCAACACCATCTTACTGCCTTCCAACACAGGAGACATCAGCAGCATGGTCACTCAGGTATGGCTTCATTTATATATATTGCACATAATATTTCCTAATAATAACACTCATGTCCCTAGTTGACATGTATACCTCATTGTTCTCTACCGTCTTCAGGCCATGGCGATTTATGGGAGTTTGTCAAAGACAAAGAGCACAGCAGAAAGCGTGACCGCTGAGACTAATGAACCGATTTTGGAAGGAAGCACTGTGTCTGAAACCGAAACTGGACATAAATAAAGATTTGAGTCTCATTCTAGGATAAAAGACAGAAAACTAAAATGATAAAATCCCTGAAGCACTATGGTGTAACTACACAAAGATTTTGTGTGTGTTT